GGCGGCAACAATACTACAGCGAGAATAAAAGTTATGCCTTCTTTCTTTGCGTGAACATTTGGGTGGTGTTATGCAAATCTTCCCACACAGTGACTTAGACATGTGGGGGCGTGTTTAAACGAGGCATTTTAGGAGGGCGTGGACAAGTCTAAACTTTTATAAAGAATATCTCTTTGGGTTTGAGACATTAGTCTTTGCAACTTTAGGGATCTTATCTATGCACGAACAGCTTGTAACACTCCAAAGAGAAAGGAAAATTTGAAATTGCATCATATGACCCCTTTAAAATAATATAATAAAACTATATTAAAATAAGTGATATTTAAGTAAAGGGAAAAATAGAAAATAAACAATGGAAAATTAGATTAAATAAAACAATTGTAAAAGTAGATTAAAGCAAATAATTTAAAACAAAAATTGTTAAAAATAAATAAAACATGATTACAATAAATGTTAAAACAAAATTACATTTTAAATACATTTTTAAAAATACAACCTTTTTTTGTTATTATTCTATAAATAAATATAAATAAAAGTGATATTTAAATAAATAAAAGTTTTATACAAACACTAGCAATGGAAAAACAGAAAATAACAATGAAAAATTAGATTTAATAATTCTAAAAGTAGTTAAAACAAACAAAAATTGGTTTAAATAAATTATGAAACATGATTACAATAAACAGAAAAATAAATAAATTCAAATTCAAAAATGATTACAATTAAAGTTTTTTATTTAATTAATAATAATACAAATTACACATTTTTTTTATTAATAAAATTATTTGAGTCTAAACAGACCTAAACCAGCACAAAAAAAAAACTCGAAGTTTTCAATAAAATGCCTAAAAATATTGAGATTTTTTGTCAGTATGTCATAGCCCTATGTCTGATATGAGCCTCTTGATTAAAGGAGGGCTGAAACTGAGGAGCGTTTGTGTTCATCCAGACACACACACACACACACTCTCTCTCTACAGTAATTCAATCACAGAAACACATTTAGACACCGTGCAGCTCTTTGTCTCACTGACGTCTCAGAATGGTTGTTTGTATCGTCTGTCGCTTCACTTCTGCAGTCTTCTTCTGCTCTCTTTCAAATCATTTCAGTTGCCCTGAAACTTTATTTACTTAAGCTGACTATCCTGCATTAATGTCTGGCTGTATGATTCATCAGAACTGCAGTGATGCTGTAGAAATTACTGTTCATGATGTCAGTGTGTGTTTAATATTTCACAGGTTCTTTTGTCACTCAGTGTCTCTTTATCAATCAATCAATCATCTGTTCTTTCACTCTGTGACGTTTCCTGGGAAAACTGATGACCTACTTCAATGCGCACACACACACATACACACACACGTGTCTGCCATTCCGTGTTTTCAGGGTTAATTCTGTTAGGAATAAAGAACAGATGAAAAGCTACAGAACAAATAACCGTCAGAGAGCAGGACAAACGAGTGTAAGAATAAACGAGTGTAAGGATGGAGTGAACTAGTGCACTTTACTCACTTTAGGAGCCAAGAACTGGGAAGACTTGTTAACAACCCACTTGGGAAGAGAACCTGAGAGAGACACAAAGAAAGATCGAGTTCAGAAGAAACAGTTTGATTCAGGGCTGTAGATCACACTGATCTGAGCAACCATTCAACAAAGTAAATTAAAATAAAATAACAGAAAAATAAAAAGTAAATTAAAATAAATAAAATATAAAATAATGTTCAGTATAAAAGAATTAAGTATAAAAAATGAATTATTAATTTAATTTAATAATTAAATAAAAAAAATAAAAATGAAAATTAAGTATAAAAATAAATGAATAATAATCAATGAAAAATATGGTTAAAACTCAATATACTAAAATAAAATGAATTGGTTAAAATAAATAAATTATTAAAATGTTAATAATAAATATTAAAATAAATAGATGCAAATTAGATTCAAATGTAAACAAATTCAAATCAAATTTATAAACTAAAATAAAAAAATAAATGAAAATTAAAAGTGTGTGTGTGTACTGGTTTATATATCCTGGTGGGGACTTAAACCTGAATACACACAGACTCATGGGGACTCGTGTCACGGTGGGGACCTAAATTGAGGTCCCAATGGGTACAAAATCTTATAAATCATACAGAATGAGTTTCTGAGAAAGTAAAAATGCAGAAAGTTTTCTGTAAGTGGTAGGTTTAGGTGTAGGGTTGGTGTAGCCTGTGCCAGGTATGTTAAGGTGCAGCTGGTGGGGCCGGTGCGTTGGATCAGGTATCCCGTCTGGATGGAAACGGCTCGCACCAGATCTTTCTTAGGAGGATATTTCTGAAACACACACAATCAATCAATTAATCAATCTATAAACACATCAAGATCAGACTTCAGGCATCACTATGGTTACGGGAACACTATGAGATCTCATTCAACATCCCATAATGATCAAAATGACACTCTGGCCTGTGTGTGTGTGTGTGTGAGTGAGTGAGAGACAATGAGAAGAAAAGGACAGAGATAACACACGTCTCTCTCTCTCTCTCTCAGTGATGACAGACAGATCAATGCAGTGCGGAACTGCAGCAAACCAGTCTGATCATGTGACTACTGATTCCACAATTTTATGACACACTCTCACACACACACACACACACTCATATGCACTCTCACACACACTCGCTCTCGCACTCACTCTCACACACACACACTCACTCACACACGCTCATATGCACTCACACACACTCACTCACACACACACTCATATGCACTCTCACACACACTCGCTCTCGCACTCACTCTCACACACACACACTCACTCACACACGCTCATATGCACTCACACACACTCACTCACACACACACTCATATGCACTCTCACACACACTCGCTCTCGCACTCACTCTCACACACACACTCACTCACACACGCTCATATGCACTCACACACACACGCTCATATGCACTCTCACACACTCACTCTTGCATTCACACACACACTCACTCACTCACTCACACAGTCGATATAAAAAACTGGGTGACTAGTAATTTCTTACTGTTAAATTCTGAAAGAACAGAAGTGTTAGTTATCAGACCAAAAACCTCGGCACGTAATAACCTAGAACACTTTCTAACACTTGATGGCTGCTCTGTCAATTCTTCATCATCAGTTAGGAACCTAGGTGTGCTATTTGATAGCAATATTTCCTTCGAAAGCCTCGTTTCTAGCATTTGCAGTGACGCACTGATCATGATTTTTCATAGCCCATTCCGATACAGATTTTTTTACAAGCAAAAAGGCCGATTCCAAGCAACAAACAAGAAGGAATGAAAGTATACATAAACAAGTTGTTTATTTGGTATTTAACCGGCCATACTGGCTTTTGGCTATTGAAAACAATAACTGTAACCATCTGAAATTAACGGAAGTAACTGCACAGTAAGCACATTCAATACAAACATAGATGGTACTGACATCAGCATTTAGCTTTTGCTTTTAAATTGTTTTTAAATTTAAGTTGAAACTACATAAAACTGGCCTTAAATGAAAACATTCAAGTCAAGTCACCTTTATTTATATAGCGCTTTTAACAATACAGATTGTGTCAAAGCAGCTTTACAGTATCAAATAGGAAAATAGTGTGTGTCAATAATGCAGAAGGACAATAGTAAACACTCAATTTTCAGTTAAAGGCAGTTCATCATTGAATTCAGTGATGTCATCATCCAGCTCAGTTCAGTTTAAATAGTATCTGTGCAATCAAGTCAACAATATCGCTGGAAATTAAGTGTCCCCAACTAAGCAAGCCAGAGGCGACAGCGGCAAGGAACCAAAACTCCATCGGTGACAGAATGGAGAAAAAACCTTGGGAGAAACCAGGCTCAGTCGGGGGCCAGTTCTCCTCTGACCAGACAAAACCAGCAGTTCAGTTCCAGGCTGCAGCAAAGTCAGATTGTGCAGAGGACTCGACTGGTTCCTGTGGTCTTGTCCCGGTGGCCGTCTAGGAGACTAGGGGATCTGTCTCTGGGGCTCATCTAGTTGTCCTGGACTCCGCTGACATTCAGGGCTGTAGAGGTCGTCTCTAGGTGCTGATCCACCATCTGGGCTGGATACGTACTGGATCCGGGTGACTGCAGTGACCATCTGATCTGAAAGCCCTTGACTCCTAGACGGCCATCGGGACAAGACCACGGGAACCAGATGAGTCCTCTGCACAATCTGACTTTGCTGCAGCCTAGAATTAAACTGCTGGTCTCGCCAGACGAGAACGACACATTATTTCCCCGTTTAATACCGTAAAGCTGCTTTGACACAATCTGCATTGTAAAAAGCGCTATATAAATAATGGTGACTTGACACACACACACACACAAACACATCTGTACAGCATCACCGTGACACACTCCAGCTGTTGTAGTGAACACAGACCATCATCACATCGTTAGTAACGATCAGCAGATCGTTAGCAGCAGAATCATTACTGTCCTGACGGCATACAGAAGAATCAATGCAGCGCTGCACACTCAATCATGAACAGGGCAGCACAGCGATTCCCAAACTCTCAGCAAACACATTTTCCCCTCAGATTTTACATTCATTTAAGTAATATTAAAATATTACAGTTCTCTGATGTCAGATAATGTTCATATAGAATTGTAAACAAATATTTCAAATATTATAAACAAATACAAGATTTAATCATTTTTATTTATTTTTATTATTTATTTATTTTGCTTTTACATCTATAAGGCAAGACCCTACAGACAAAACCAGCATGCACTGGTCAATTTTGAGATTTTGGTCAGTTTTGTTTCCATAACATGTCTTATTTCAGACTAGATGAAAGAAAACATCCCAAAAACACATTGAGTTTTATTGCACTGTCTTTAGATTTTAATTACAATACATATCTTTAAAAGTTTTTTCTCCACTTCAGCAGAACTTACATACACCAAAACTTAGAGTTTTATTCCTCTCTATATACTGAAGGTTTTTACTGAGGGGTTTGTTCATATATTATTCACACTGGTTTATACAACATTATATTCCTAAAAACATGGTGAAAATGCAAATCTTTAAATGCTGACAGTATTTTCTATTGATGGAGTGACAAAAAGAGAAATACAAAACCCCCAGAGTAAAAACCTTCAACTCTAAAATAAAAAACAAGAATTTTGAACCTAGATTTATCCAATGTTCATTGCATATTTAATTTGCATATTAGCACATTTCAGAAAACATAATAAACATTTGTCTTAATTTACTGTGATCAGTCAAATGAGGAAAGTAATCATAAATAAATATGATATGATGATATCGATTAATATATATGACCTTATTCACCTGTAGTGACTTGCCTTCATTTAATTTAAATACAATTATTAGCTTTTCATTTCTTAGCTATGATTATTATTTGTTATTAAACTAATAAAAACTACCGTATTGACCCGAATATAAGACGATGTTTTTTTCTTGGAAATACATCTGAAAAAACGTGGTCGTCTTATATTCAGGGTCTAGACTTTGACATGTCAATAATACACCCACAACACTAGGTGGCGCCAAATACGCATAAAACGAGTGTGCCATGAAATACGTAATGTAATGCGTGTTGTAAAGATCGCGAGTAAAAACAAAAGAAAAAGAAAACCTTACAGCTGCATGAGTCGTGACTGTCACGTTAGCCTGATGGCACCAAACTCCCTTTGTGATTTTAAAACGTAAGACAGTACCCAGATTTGAAGACTACAGTAAGATTTAACTTCTACTGTTAATAAGATTTTGGTAGGCTACTATTAGATGGATAGCCTAAATGTCCTAATTCAGATGGACTACCTGTTTTTTTGTTTTGTTTTTTAAAGTGTATATTTTTTAAATGTGATTGTTGGTACATTTTACCAGTTTTTACCATACTTTCAAAACAAAAATTAAAATAGGAAAAATATGCAATATGAAAATAATTGAAGACAAAATGTGTTTTACTGAGAAAAAACAAGATTTGCCTTTTAAAAAGCCTTTTTCCAAAAGGTACACCTGGAAAAAGGGGGGTCGTCTTATATTCGGGCCAATACGGTAATTAAAAAGAACTACAAAGATATATTTAAAAAACAAAAACAATAAAAATTACAAAAATACTAAAACTTTAATTAAAATTAAAGCGATAACAGGAAATATAAAAATGAGATCTAATTCAAACTATTAAGAACAACTATACTAGTATATCAATGAGACTAAACTAACACAGCATCACTCACAGCGTGTTTGACGGAGTAGTTCATGATGATGTAATCGTTGCCCATCGGCAGCCAGGAGCGCAGGGTGATGACATCACGGTTCTTCAGCGGTTTAGGACACTTCCCTAAAAAGAATGAACGCTTACTAGCATTTACACAAAGTAAATTGCATATTTTGATATTTAAAGGCTAATTCTGCAGTGGCAGAACTTACAGGAGTAATAGCCCACATCTGCGTTGACTGTCAGTTTGCCGATATCAAACGTCTCGATGACATTTGTGTCCCACTTTCGCCGATACTCGATGTCGTGGAGCACGTCGTACATGGTCTCAGCTGGGATGTCCTTACACAGCATTCGACACTGAGGAGAGAGCAGAAGAACTACGTTACCCAGAATGCATCACAGGCCATAAAGCGTCAAGAAGAAACTAAAACCTAAAACCATAAAAAATGTCATTGCTTTAAATAAAATTTTAAAATTTAATTACATTTTAAAAATTAATAAAAATTAATTAATAATAAAATTAATATAAAATATAAACAAACTTAAACTTATTTCCACTAGTTGCCAAGGCAACATTTCTCATGTAGTTTGACAATGTACTAAAATAACTAAAACTAAAATAAAAATGCAATACAATAAATCCCAAAACCTAATAAAAATGACAAAAACATAAAATGAAATTACTAACTGACTGACTTTAACTAAAATGAAAATGGAAAATTTGAAATACAAAAATTTAAACTTGTTGAATTTGAAGTTAATAATAAAACTAAAACAAACAAATGAATAAAGATTACATATTTTAAAAATAAATAAATAAAACAACAAAATTAATAAAACTTAAAAATGAAAGTGAAAATAGAATAATAAAAATGTATAAAATCTATAAAGACATATTTTAAAAACAAAAACAGATAAAAATGACAAAAAAACAACAAATACTTAAACTTTAACTAAAATTAAAGTGAAAACAAAATATAAAAATAATTTAAAATGCTAACAAAAACTATAATAATTTTTCAATGATGCTAAAATAACACTGGTCAGAAGTGACAAAACAAATAAACATTTAAAATGTAAATATCTCTCCTGGAAATGGACCAATATATTGACGACATTATACTGTTCAAACATCTTGTGAAGTAGCAGATAATATTCATGACTGTGTCATAAAAAAAGCTGTAAATGAAGCTCGACACACATTTTGTGATAATTCAAGCGTCCGTGACCCTAAAACAGAAACGCACGCGTGTAACTAATGACCTACATCAGGTGAAACGAGGCTGCAGTTACTCTGAATCTGAAGTGCTTTGTGAAATATGAAACCAGGCCATTAAAGCAGATCTCGTCTCAACAGCACCTGTGTTTTCTAGAGCGTCGACAAGAACGCAAGAGAGAAGCAATGAAAAACAGCTGTAGGCGCAGAAACGACACACTAAAGTCTTCATGCTACAAAACTCAGTGATAGAGAGGAAAAGTACAGATACAAAAATGATGTGAAGATTTATACAGAACAACCTCACAGTGGTTACAAACAGGGTTATTCTCATTAACTAAAACTAATCTAATAAAACATTTTTGCTAATGTGTGTGAAATAAAGCTGAAATAAATGAAAATATAAATATTGGATGAAAAACTTTAACAAAAATTTTTATAATAGTTTTTTAAGTTAATTGCTTAATAAACTTGAGTTGAAGCACTAAAATCACTAAATGGATTTAAATGAAAACTAAAACTGTAAATTATACCTAGTAAAACAAAAAAGACAAAAGCACATAAAATTACTAAAAACTTACAGTACATAAAAAACTGATTCAAAGCTAATTCAAAACATTGATAAAAACTATAATTGTATTTAAGTAATACTAAAATAACAGTGACACACAAACAGATTTTAATGATTAACCAGAGATCAAAAAGTTTAGAACATGTTTTATAAATAGAAATAACTTCATGCAACACACTGGATTGACGCGATGGAAGTTGTGAGTTTAGTTACTTAAACAGCGATTTCACCCCCTCGTTGCTCAGGAATATAAAGCAGCGTTTTAATATCTAAGCTATTTTATTAATAAAAGTCACTGGGCAGCATTGACAAGTTTATGTACTCCTGAATATTTCTGTGCGCGCGAAGCGCAATCTCTGATCTCTCGCTTTCTTTCTCTATTTTCGATACGTGCTCCGTAGTCTGAATCTGAATAATTATTTGCGAACCATCATTTTAAATCGGTAATTCAGAGCGAGGATCACAAATCATTCAATTCTCTAAATGATTCGCAAACCCGCTCCGAGTCCCGATCTAAATCAAATGATTCGTGATTCGCGATACGCAATCTGATTGGATTGTTTTGAAGCGCGGCCACACGCGCTAGTTGTCATAACAGTGAGGGTCTCAGAGCGACGTCATTATTAAAAGGCTCGGTCCGCATTATTAATGAGAAGAAACTCGCTCACAAGGAAGGGGTTACACTCGAAAACATCAAGAGTGTAAAACAGATACATCCACTCACACACACACACAGAGAATTATACATACTCAAATGAATTGGTATGGCTATAACCATATAACCAAAATGAGTCAGAAGACTGAAATAAGAGGTTAAAATCAGATCAGACCCAGAAGGATTAAGCATTTTTATAGAATTTGTTTGATGTGTTTTATCTTTAAACCGCATAAACACATTTCATTACACCAAATACACAAAAAAAATTTCTTTTTAGCAGCATCATATGACCCCTTTAAACATGATTTTGAAAAACAAATGGCATCATCTACAGCAGCAAACATGATCATTAATGAGCTCAGCGCTGATGGTCAGTCTGTGGTGAGAGAGGCAGAAGGACCGAAACGCTTGAGTGGGATTTCCTGAAGCTCCACTGGTCCTATACAGGAATCTAGTGGTTACACCATTAAATTACAGGTTTTTCTTTCCTTGTTTTTTTTTGTTTTTTTCTTTGCTCACACCAGGAGGTGCTATTCTGCCTTCAAAAATCTGATTTTAAAGGCCTAGTCTCTATTTTAATCTGAAATACTGCATTAATTGAAAAATAATTTTTTTTAAATTAGAAAAAAAAATCTGTACTATTTTCCATGGGAAAATTTTATCATAATTATTGCATAAATATTAATTGGTACCATAACATTCTCTCAAAATACAAAATAAAAAATATTATTGAACAAAAATACTGTATATTAGATTGATTTTACTGAAGAAAAAAAAAGTTAAATTTCATGTGTGTGTGTGAGTGAGTGAGTGTGTGTATGAGTGTGAGTTCTGGTTTGTAGCGCAATATTTCATGCCTGCAGTTGTGTGTTCTTTACTGACATCTATTCTTTCATCATTTAGACACACACACGATCTCCGACTGAAGTCTTTCTGTGATTGGTGCTCGTTTCACCTGCTAAGGAGCCGTAAACCAGCAGTGGAAGGG